GGTCACAAATGACGTTTGGAAGTGTAATAATATCTTGTATAACGAAACCGTGGAGAATGTTCAACATTTTACTTTTCAAAAGGTTTTTGTATTTTACCAGGTAAGGCCCACTGAGCGAAATTGCTCTTTTTCAGAAGCGATCTGGCCACAAATGAAAGCTCAACGAAGTGGCTTGTCACGTGGAAATTTATAGCAGCCAAATACTCTAAACCACATGTTTTGAAATGTGGAGAGGAAACCCGGAGGACCCGGAGAAAAATCCATGCGACTACGGGAAGAACATGCAAACTCAAAATATAGAGCAGGCATGAGGGTCGAGATCGAACCCACGAATAAATTCCTCTCACACAGCTTAAAGGTCGCGGTCTGAGCTTGGCTGTGTTTCACTCCAGCGCTGTCCTCGAGACAGTCTGGTCCCTTCACCTGATGAATGCCGCTTGTGTTGTGGCCGAAACGTCGTGATTATTGTTGTTTTTTTTTGTTTTACCTACGTGACTTTACCGAATAGAACCAAAGAGTACGAACCCACGAACTCCTGCATACCAGACGAGGCAGATAACATCTTGCCACCAAGACACCCTTGCTTCGTCCACCGCACCTATCTCCTCAGCAAACGGAATAGTAAATTGCTTCTGGCTAAATCTTCTTCTGAGCTCTATTTGACCTACGCAAATTATCTTCTCAAAGACAGTGGAGATCCTATTGGCGAAGAGCGTGAGTCAAAATTTCCGAAGCTGCAAACCTTCTTGATCATCATCATTATTATTATTGTCATCATCTTCTTCAACCAGCAACAAGCCACTGCTGGATGAAAGCCTCCCTAGGTCTAATAATAGGGTTTTCCCCCTTTTTTCTGGCAACAAAACTGAAACCTTTTTACAAGGAATCATGTGTGCATTAACCACAGTACTTGTGGTCAAAATGCAAACAATAAACACACTCTGATAATATATGCATTGTCCTTGAAACTGATTGGTCCACACCATGATTCCTCGTAAAAAGATTTCAGTTTTGTTGCCAGAAAAAAGGGGAAAAAACCCTATTATTATATTTTGGTACTGGCAAAGGAGGTCTAATGATGTACCTCCCTAGGTCATTGCTATCTTTCACGGTGTGTCTTGCAATGCAATGATCCATCTAGCACCTTCATGGCAACTCAATTCATAGATCCATCTCCACAGCGGACTTACTCTGACGCGTGAATTATCTCCTTCAGTTGCCACTCCGTCGTTAGTCTCGACCATCACCTCTTAGCGACACGTCGTGCCAAAGCCCACTTGCTGTCTTCTTAACAGTCAATATGATGTTTCTAACATGCTGAACTTCTCCAGTCCTTGTCTTCCCCTGTCTCTTAATGTAATGCTAAGCGTACATCTCTCCGCGATCCTCCGTGCACTTTAAAGCTTTTGTTCCGTGCTCTCAGTTGCTATGTTGATCCGTATATAATATAAGGTAATCCACATTCATGAAATTCCTTTTTTTATTTCAATACCTCCGAGGTTAACGCATGCGCGAAAGCATCAGAGGAAAACAAGCACATGCATGTGTTTTTTTTTAATTCTTGTTTGCATTACAATCTTAAGCCCTCTGCAGATAACGCAGAGGATACGTTCCACACATCTCAAATGTCCATTTCCCATAACTATCTGAGGGATACAGGCGGCTATGCCCACCCTATCTCCAACATAACTCACTGGGCAAAGTTTGCTGATAGGGCGGGGGGGGGGGGGGCCCAACTCAATTACCAGTTATCGCCTCTCCAGACTCCCCAGCGGATTTAGTAGAAGCAGAACTCGACTAAACCGCAAACGCTACTGCCAGCAAAGAGGGGCTTTGAGTGACGGGATCAGTCTCTCCAATCTTCAAAGCACAGCCGGAGCAGCCTGAGCCCCCAAACGATTTCTCGCACGGGGCCTACACAGAGAGAGAGAGAGATGGGGAGAGTAATAAATTGTGACTCTCAAAGGAATCCTTCAAGGAAGGAACAATCAGTAATAAAAAATAAACCACGCTATTCGTGCATACTCATGGATTGTGTAACGCTTTCTCGTATGCCCTCTCTGTATTTGGTGAGCGGCGGGGAAGCCGACAGTTATTGAGCAAGCTACTAGGGGCGTGCAGCATACGATTGCTGCACGCACGGTTTGAGTCTCCAAGATTTGGGCAAGCCCTTTGATTAATTTAGAGTTCAGTCCCAAATAGCAGCACAACCTTATGCTATGGCTCGGTGCGTATTGTATCATCTCTACGAATAGTTATCGTGCCCACCTCCCCCATTAACGACAGACAGCTCATACATACGCAGTACACGCTTTCAGTCTGAGTTGGAAAGCGTTTCCACGCAAGTTTGCGTTGTGGCTGAGCGTGCATTAAATGTATTAAAACAAGGGTCCACTTGGTCAAGTGCAAGTGTTTCTGTGTCTCGTCGAGCGTCAGGTGGTGCGGATCTATGCTGGCTGTCCCGACCCAGAGATGGAGATTCCACATTCTTATGAGAGACACCCAGTCTCTCCATATCGATGGCCATTGTTAATAATGATCTGGTTGTTACCGATCGCATATTCTGATATTTCATGATAAAATGCGCTCCACTTTGTGGGATGTCATTGATTGGTCACCTGTAAGAAACTCGCTTCGGGGTGGATAGGATACTGCTATTAACCTATAAGGCTTTAAAATGGGACACCCACATTACTCGCATGAACTACTACATTTATATATTCCGTCAAGGTTCTTAAGATTTTCTGATCTTCACCTGCTCAGCAATCCCAGGTTTAGGTGGCGCTCTTTTGGTGATCGGGATTTTGTTAGCGTACAGTAGCACCCAAGCTATGGAACACATTTCCACTTGAAATCAGGCAATCAGAGTCGGTAGATGTATTTAAGTCTGTTGTGAAAACCCATGTCTTTAAAGTGGCCTTTGGTCGGTTGCCCTAGTTCTGTTTTTGTTTCCTGCTTTTCATTAATTGCGCATTGGGATCCTAGGATGGAATGCACATTATACATTTGAATTATTATTAAAACAGGTACCTTTCAACAGGACGTCACTTGGTATTCCCGTGGACCGACTGATGTTTAGACAGTGCAATGGGCACTGATTTGTGAAACGTCAACAGGGATTGCCCTGTAGTTAATCTCGAGGTCGGTAAAAAGGTACCACTTTGTATATATGTTGAACTTCTTTTGCGCTGTATGTAGCCAACTGTGCTAATCGGAGGTGCGGGGGAAGGACTTTGTGGAAAAATCAATCAACAGCTATCATCCATAGGAAGCTGACCCCAGATTAAAGCCGCTAATTCTAGATTTAAAGCTTTCGTGACTGCAAGGATCCATACTCTTTGGTTATATTGGGTAAAGTCACGTGACTTTACCCAATAGAACCAAAGAGTAAAGCCGCTAAACCAACGTAAAATCCCGTTAGGCAGAATCCACCCAGCACATCACCCCTGAAGGGCTGTGTTGATGGCAAATCAACGGTGATCATTTATAGAAGAAGAAAAGATGTTGATTCACGAAACACCTTCAATACCTGGAGAGTAAACCCACAACATTTACAATTGGAGTACGACGTTTCGCCGGTAATTACAACTAGAAAAATCAGGGGGCAGCCAGATTTGTGGAGAAAAGAGGAGCAGAAAGTAGGATGTTTTTTTTTCCTGGATTTTCTGTTTGCACATGCACAAAGTCACTTTAAGATGTTTTTCTTGTTCATGTTTTTTGTTTGTTGCGGTTGCACCCGATTCAAGAGCCGAATGGCTCACAGGGCTATACCAAATAAATGAAACTAAACTAAAACTAAAAACACACCAGTGTGCTGTACTAGTAACGAATTGGCATGTTTTGTTTACGTTACGATCTAACGCTAACACCTCTATTATGGAATGTTCAATAACATTCCGCTATATTACCTTGAGTTGTTTCCAAAGACGGCTACTGCATCGCACGCTTTCACATGCGCTTCTGTGGCTGTCTGGAACGCTCTTCCATCCATCCGATATTAGAAAGCCACTGAAGCTGTGCACGTTTAAATCTAGATTGAAAAGAATTTATTTAGAATTGCTCTTTGTGTTTAGTTTGTTCTCTCTCCGTGGCGGTCGCGTGGATTGTTCTCCGGGTTTCTCCGTTTTTTTTCCACTCCACGTTCATAAATATGCGTTTAGATTATTTGGCGACTCTCAATTCTAGATTTAAAGCTTTCAATTCCCACTCTCAATTCCCACATGTGATGGTGATATAATGCACTTCAATGAGCTATTATGTGTGGTCAGTACATCTCGAAAAAAGAGCTAATAGCACAGTGGGCTTTAGTTGGCAAATACAAGTTTAATTTACATCAACAGCGGGCATCCTACGTATACTGTATACATATAATGATTATATTTATTTGAACAAATCACATAGGGTTATTTAATTTATTTTTACCAAATGTTATAACTTCAATGCATATTCATGCATGCAATTAATTATTAATAAATGAAGTTTGAACTCTTTTTGGGTTTGTTTAGGATTACAGGAGTAATCTGTGAACATTCAGAAATTACGTTTTGTCTCAATTCTTTCAGGGTTCCTGGGTCGAGTTTTGTAAATGACGGATTTGAGGCGGCCACCCACAGGAAGACAAATATATTCGTAATGATAACAGATAGAATATTAACTTAAAGAAGAAACAATGAAAATGTTTTAATATCAGTGTAAAAATACATTAAATAGTCATGTATCCTGACTTTAGGGCTGCCCTATACTGTGTGTGTATGTATAGGGCCGTCCATAGGAGAGGTGCGGGCCAAATCACACTGTGGCTCACTGGACGCTTTCAAACTAAACCGAAAGTGTTTTACGTCTGACACCGTGACGTCGAAGCGCGTGCTCCCCCCACCCCCCCCCCCCCCCAAGCGCGGGGCCTGGGGCGGCCGCCCAGATTTGCCGTGTTCCCTAGGGGGCCAGGCTCGTCTGCCCAGAGCAACCCCCCCCCACACACACGTGCACCGCCGCGCGATTACCGTGAGGGGCAGCGAGCAGATGAGGAAGATGAGCGTCATGACCACGAGCAGTACGAGGTTGTCCACCTCGACCCCGCGCGCGTACTTCATCCGGCGGTGCAGGGACAACTTGCGTCGCAGGGACAGCGTGCGGGGCTGCTGACACCCCCGGCAGGCGGCGGGGGGTGCCGACGACAGCAGCCGCCTCCGCATGGCGTGCAGGGACAGCATGACGGACGCGTTGCACGCGAGCACGGCCACGATGAGTGCCGAGAGGAAGAGCGCGTACAGCACGGAGTAGCCCGGTTCGTGGCGCATCTCCACGTAGCACCACGTGCACGGCTTGTACATGCGCGAGCGGCCGAAGCGCATCACGGGCATGAGCGAGGCGAGCAGACTGAGCAGGTAGATGCCGGCCAGCGCCCCGAGGGCTCCGGCTCGCCGCACGAGCCTCCTGTACGCGTAGGGGTGGCTCAGCGAGAGGCAGCGCTCGAACGCCATGGCGAACAGGATGCCCATCGTGGCCGCGCCGAAGAAGAGCATGCAGCAGGTGAAGTAGAGGCACAGGGAGTCGCCGCCCAGCTCCCGCAGGGTGCTGTTGCGGCTGTAGGCGGTCAGCACGACCGGACTGGAGAGCAGGGTGCTGAGCAGGTCGGTGGCGGTGAGCGCGCACACGAGAGTGAAGAAGACGCTGCGCTTGCTGTCGGGACGCGAGCACCAGAGGATGGAGGCGGCGGCACCGTTGCCGACCACGCCGACGCAGAACATTAGAGCGGCTGGGGTAGCCGAACTGCCGACTGGGATGGTCGCGCATTGCTCCTGCGACTCGTTCATCGGGAGATGTTTTGCCGCAAGCTGGACGCGAAGGGCTTGCTCTCGCCGGGTCCAAGTGACTTGGCTCCGATATAGGTTGTGCGGCTTAGGCGGCAGACGATTAAGAAAGAAGTTGCCCGGCAGATGATGAAGTTGGCCGGGAAAACTAAGGGGCTTTTTTTTTTGGTCTGGCAAATGTGCAACGCGTTCAAGGAATCAAACAATCTCAGCAAACAGAAAATAACTCTGCCCAAGGGGGAGATACCTGGCTCAGCATACAATGTATCCAGGAGATCAACAACAACTACATTTCTCGAATAGAGGACGAGGCGATGATCCTTTGCGGGAGACGCAGCGATGATCTCGAAGGGAACGCGCTTCTCCGGTGAGACAAAGACGTGAGATGATCCCGGCAGAGGCGAGTCGAGCGCCGACCTACAGCTGAGTGGGATAAGACGGTGGAGTAGAGTGGGAGAATGTACGAGAGTCGAGTGCAGAGTTTAGTGCTGAGTGTAGACTTGAGTTGAGTGTAGCGAAACGTGTTCAATATAGTGTCGTGTAGAGCTCAATTAATAATGCAGCAAAGCGCATCGCAGAGTGCATAGCGACGTGTGTGCTTGGTACGTGTCGGTATTGTTGTTGTGATTGTTTGTTTTCTCACAGAGCGACCCGCGGTTTCACGACATTGGAGTCTCGTGCCTGCGAGGGCACGCGTTACGACACCGCGCTGGACATTGCGACACCGCGAGTCGGACGCACGTGGTCGCGACAACCGCTCTTGCCCATGCCGAGTTGACCACACCAGCCGTGCCTCCCAGTGACGCCCTGCACCCTCCTTCCCTCCCTCCCCGCCCGCCAGCCCTCCTCTGCCCTTCTTGCCCTGCACCCTCCTCCTCTCCTTCACCGCGGGGGTGCCGCGCGCATTAGTGTGGTCGCAAGAAGGGGAAGGGGGGTGGGAGCGATTCACAACGCCTCCCCTCCCCCTATATCGCTTCGTCACCCCCTCAAAGCAATTCGATTAGTTGGACCCTTATCTTAAAGAGAGGGAGCGTCCCTGCCTTTAATATCTGAACAGTTCACCAGCATTGATTCAAGCCAAGCCTGGCGCCGCTGATGAGACGCTGAATTTCGAAGTTGGTCAACGGGTTTGCTTGTGCTGATTGTATAGATGCTGCTGAAATTATGCACTCACGAAAGGCAGTGGAGCCGATTTGGCTGTGTAAGAACTACTTCATTAAAACAAAGTTACGTGGACAGATAGAGGAAAAAGAGAGACAAAGACTTCTTATGTATTTTTGGTATTTACATTCTGCTTGAATTTATGCCATGGCTCCGTGAAGGGAAAAAAGATCAATGTTTACGTGTTAACATCATGGTGAATGTAGCGTGAACGGATTACATAAGAGTTCGTTATCGGCCCTATGTCAAATCGCGGCTTCCTCTTTCTGTTTCTCAATGCAAATTGCAACCATCCGTGTCTTTGCGCGCATACATTTTTTTTCTTAACTTTATCCACTGTTTGACGAACGTCTCACCACGCCGTACCGTTCAAGGGGGTTTGTGACCATACTTCACCGCGCTGGTCAGTGCGGGTTGGCGAGGATGGAGTTGGGGGGGGTGGGTTAGGGATACTCACCACTGAAAGTTATGCGTGGCCCCGAACCGAACTCGCCTTGTTTATAGTGCAGTGCACGGACCATTACTCCACTGCTCAAGTGCTATGTGGCCTAGGGGCCGCTTGGCATGGGCCCTAGTGTAAGGAATGAAATGGAGTCCCCTATCCAATTTCCCATCCTCTTCGTAGCCCGGCGCCTCTGGGCTCCTCTGACCAGTTAAAACCCCCACGTTTACGCGACCACCTTCAGGTTTCTAAACGAAACTAGTCTTGACTAGTTTTAAATACTCCCAAATACAACTGTCGGCAGTGGCAGGACAAAAACGAGTTCGTACATACCAAGACTAATCAGATAATCTATCGAAATTGAGAGAAATACAAATTATTTTAACCGTTCAGATAGCAACACACTTAGTGCTGCTTGGAAGCGAATCATAAAATAATATTTTGCTTAAATGCATGACTATACAGGTCACCATACGTCAATGGGGGTTACTTGCGCGCAGACGATAAGAGGTGCTGCTATTTTAGTGCACACAGATGACAGCAGGTACAAAAACAATGTGTAGGCATAACGTTAGAGGCCGACCGAAATTCGGTTTCGGCGCCGAAAGTTGGCAAATGGCCTCTTTCGGCATACGTTCGGTTTTCGACAGAAAGTAAATTTTTAACTTTCGGTCTGGTTTCGGTTTCGGCCAAAACTGATATTGACTTCCGGTCATCATTCGTCAACCGAAGATCGATTTTTTTTATAATATAACGCTCGTGCTACGTCTATCGCTCTGCCTATCCGTCGGTCAGTCGGTGCAAGGCAATCCTATGCGATAGGCTGCAAACACACACACGTACACACACACACACGTACACACAAACACACACAAACAAACACACGTACACACAAACACACACACGCGTAAACACACACACGTACACACAAACACACACACACGTACACACAAACATGCACACGTACACACACAAAGACACACGTCAGCAGCAGCAGCTTAGGAGCGAGGTTACAGCCGCAACCATGGTCTGCTAATGTATATACGACCGGTCAACAAACGGTAGTCTGCATCTTCACCCGTGGGTAGAGTCTCTTTGGCGGGACGCCAACCAAGTGCCTCTGTTGTCTGTTCCCAGCAGCCTGCCCACCTTTGCTAATGTGTTGCTTTCGCTGCAGTCTACACGCGTGTTGAGACCGAAATTCGGTTTCGGTTTTGGCCGAAAGTAAATTTTTAACTTTTGGTCTGGTTTCGTTTTCGGCCGAAACCAGAAATTCAGTTTCGGTCAGCATCTACATAATGTGCATGCATAATGTAAGGTGATTACCATATGCAAAACCCAAACCGGTAATGGTTACCCATTTTAATTAATATGCATTCATTCATCTCCCCCCCCCCCCCTCGCACGTGAATGGCTCACAAGTGACATCATCACATTGCGGGGGCTACCGCCCCCCGCCATCACCGAATTGTCGGGGCCGTTGTCCCCCGACTCCCCCGTGACATTCGTCCCACTACCCCCCGGCTGTTCTGTGGGATCCGGCCTACCGGCCTCCTCTTCCTCGCCCCCCGGGGCCCCTGACTTTGTTGCCGACCGCGTAGGCATGGCTCAATTAGTGGGATGGTACGCTTTACGCTTGCGGCGCGCTACGCTGCTCTGTGGCGGAAGGTGCTGCTATGGGCGCGCCCACAAAGTAAAACCCCGTCCCGCACGTGAACAAGCAGGTACGGCGCGCCGACGTGTGATTCCCTCACACACACGTTCTACGCGCTCGGGCAATAACAAACACGACTCCGCTACCTGCCCAGCCCCGTACACCAATCACACGCGAGGGAGTTGGGGTCGGGGGTGAGAGGGCAGGGGCGTCTGCCGCTGCGCGTGTCGCTGATTGGAGGGAGTCACTCCGCTCCGATTTAAAGGGCCGTTTAAACAGCCGCGTAGGCACGCGCTAAACAGCCGCATAGGCACGCGCACGCTAAGCGCTGCCGTAAACAGTCGCACAGGTACGCGAGCGCTAAGCACTACCGTAAACAGTCGCCCAGGTACGCGAGCGCTAAGCACTGCCGTAAACAGTCGCCCAGGTACGCGAGCGCTAAGCACTACCGTAAACAGCCGCGTAGGCACGCGCACGCTGAGCACTCCGCCTCCTGATAAACAACCGCGCATGCACGCGAGCACAAAGGACGCTCCACCCTCCTCTTCACACTCCCAAAGACCACACGACACAGTTTATCCCCCTACTAGTTATTTATTTACCGCGAGTAACCCGTTAAACTACGCGTGATTGTGTGGGTCAGTGGATGCCAGCCTATCCTTCGAGGATCCTAGATTCAATTTATCCTGGCTATCGCTCTGCTCTCTACCCTCGATTAAATCGCTCAAACTCACCTCTCTCTTACTTACGCTTACTTCCACTCTGCTGCGCTGAAAGCTGTAGAAGGGCGATGCTGTGGGTCGTCTCCGTAGAGGGTTGAGCCTGGCTGCGTTGAAGCTCGTCACACGGACGTCTCGAACGGCTGACTCTCACACCCCGCTGCTCTCGATGTCTTGAAGAAGAGCTCTGATGACTCCAAGGACTCTGCCCTTACTCTCTCCATCACCTGCCTTTTATCCTACCTATCACAAAAGGCATTCCGCGGACCCTGCACTTGCTCGCCCGTGCCCTTCTGTCCAATCGGAGGCTGAGATATTTCTGTCCCTTTGACATTCGGATCCCTAATCCCACAGATAACAAAAGGCATTCAGTTGTTCCTGCGCTCGTGCCCCTCTGTACAATCGGAGGCTGAGATATTTCTGTCCCTTTGACATTTGGGATCCGTAATCTCACCTATAACAAAAGGCATTCAGTTGCTTCCGTACTCGTGCCGCCCTGTCCATTCAGATGTCGGAATGCTCCTGTCCCGTTGTTATTTGGATCCGTAATCTCACCTATAACAAAAGGCATTCAGTTCATAATCCTATCTATAACAACAGGCATTCAGTTCCGTACGCCCCTTGGCCTCCTGCCCAATAGGAGGCCCGGATTTTCCCGCCTTCTCCGATACTTTGATCATGCTTTGGTGACGTCACCGTGGTGGTTTCTCAGACGTCCGCTCTCCATTCTTCCCGCTATCGGCCCACTGACTTGTGTTTGTGTGCATGCGGTTTCACTCGCGGTGGCTCCACGGCCTCCGCCGTGACCACGTAATTTTAATATCAGGTCACGGCGCCGCGGTGCATGTCAGCCACGGGGGGAGATCGCCCAATTTCCCGGCCGCAGGAAACCATGAAGCTTGATCCCATTAGGGGCCTTCTGGATAAAAACCCGTCGGCCAGGTGACCTTCCCTCCCGGCTCTACGTGGGGTGTGTGTGCATTCGTGCGGGGGGGGGTGGGGGGAGGGCGCCGCGTCGGCGCCGTCACTCCCCGGTGTCGGCGTCACGGCGGTGGGCACGGCCCCGGCAGAGCGGCTCTGCTGCGGCGGCCCCACAACTGTGCAGTGGATGAAACGCGGACGTCTGAGAAGGCACCGGCCTCGGGACAGTGGAGGGAAATCCGAGGCATCGGTGGCGGCGTCGCAGCGGTGGGTACGGCTCCGATGGAGCGGCTCCGCTGCGGCGGCACCACAACATCTATCCCTCTATTTAAGGAACGAAACAGGAGGATTTCTCCGAAAATCTGACTGTCCGCCTGATGATGCTAGTTGTAATTACTGGCGAAACGTCGTACTCAGATTGTAAATGTGGCTTGGCTCTCCAATACACCGGTGTGCTGTACTAGTGACGAATTGGCAAGTTCTGTTTACGCGACAACCCTTACTAGTTGGCTGTGTCGGGTGGTGGAAGGCTTAATGACGCATTTATATTCACGCGATCTAACCAAAAACAAACTTATATTATGCAGTTTTTACTGTACTGGGCACTAAGCGAGTGACCTGGCCACAAATGATAGCTAGTGGCTTATCATGTGGAAACTTACTGCACATTGATTCTAAATGTGGAGGGAAAAACCGGAGGACCCGGATACAAATCTACGTGACTACGGGGAGAACATTCAAACTCCAAATATAGGGGCGTTAGGGCGGGATACAACTCACAACCTCCTGCATACCAGGCGAGGTAGTTAACATCTCGCCACCGTGGGACAGCAGTTGCATCGCCTGCACGCTCAATAGCTACGCCACTGCCACCACTCCCCTCCATTGTAAATACAAAGTCAGGA